ATTCCGAAAGCATGACCAGCATCAAAGGTTAGGGCTCCCCATTGAAGTGGATATGGAATCTTATCCTACAATTCAAGTGACCATCAATCAAAGCGTTTCTATCAATCACAATGGTTTCAACGTTAAATCGGCAATGGGATCTAACCAAGGAGCAGAAGAAATCATGTTGGCCTTATCAGTTCTACAGTTTTCTTGGGTCAGAACCGGTCTGTGTTTGTAAACTCCACTCGCTGTCAAGAGGTGGGCGTAAGCCCAAACAACGGTTATCGATATGAGAAGGGCAAACCTCTCTAGTATCAGCAACTGTCTGAACTGAAAGTTCTTCAGATACTGCACCAAGAACAAACATCACTTGTGAGTAACATTGTTCAATAATGTCAGGAACAAAAACATGATAACGAGAGATAAATTTGGTTCCAAGAAACACCTGAGAGAAGCGATGAAGATGATAAATTTGGTTCCAATAAACACATACAGAAACAGATATACATAAGTACATATACCTAGAACAAATCGCCCACATCTGGCTAAAGCCAAGAATGATTTGCACACTGGAGGCAACAATGACTGCACCTTGTACCGCCCTCATCGTACTGAGAAATATCTGCATATGATGCTTAATGAAAATTCAGCCAATAATAACTACACTACAAACGAAGGAAATCAAGAAATCTGCTACTAACCAAGTGCGGATCCTCGATACGGGTGAATTTAGAGTCGTGAATTATCGAACCGATGGGAACCATGAACGCAAAAGAGCCTCCAATGACAGTGGGCAGCCGGGTTCCAAATAAGGTTTGAAGAAGGGTATTAACACCTTGTAGGAACAACAGAGTCTGAACCACTCTCACTTTATCACCCTAAATCATTTCAAATTTTCAAGCAACGATCTTTATCAAATCCAAATACAGATTCTTGAAGATAAAGACTTGAAGATAAAGAAAAAAAAAGTGCTCACATCATCACCACCCATCAGAGGAACAAGAAACGATGGGATCATCACTACGGTTCCTAGGGAGAGAATGTAATGCTGAAAGCCTAAAGCTATAGCTTCCCCTGGGTATATACAGAGAAGTCACCATCAAGAACACAGAGAAGCTAATCGATAAGGAAATTATTACGACATGGGTTTTCACATGGTCACCCAGTTCAGAACCGAGATTATCAAAAGGAAGAGTTACAAGATTTGGTAACGAGAGAGAAGGGCATACCCCATGAAGGGTTTGAGTCAATACAATACTCTAAACCCTGAAGTTGATCCATTGGTGGGTGAGATATTCCTCCGGCTTCAATGACTCCATGTCTCAGAGAACACAAATTTGCAAACCAAATCTTCTTCTTTCTCTGCCAAAGAAACGACAAAATTCACACTTTTTGCAGTTTTCCGGTTAAACTCAGAAAAGGGTCGTCGGAGAATCGGAAGAATCCGAAAGGGATCTGATTGAATCTGGAAAATGAATGGTTAAAAAGCGTGATTTAACTAAAAAAAGAAGAAAGAAAAAGCGTGAGACAGAGAAAAAGATGTGTTGAATGTTTTGAATCTTTCGATGTTTATATATAAAAGGGAGGATTTGAAAAAGAAAAAAAAGGGCCGTTGGTTTTTATGAATTGACGGAAAAGCCCCTTAAGGAACTGCCAAACTGAAACTGACCGAATATTATCGTTGTTTTGTTCATTTGGGTAAATATAAATAGAGAAAATTTACACCAGTATCAAAAAACGTCACGTCATTAGAAATCTATACATTTTTTTCCTTCCTTTGCAAACTATACCTTTTTATAATTTTTTAACAAAAATACCTTTATTTTATTGTATAATTTCAATGTTGCCATTAAACATTTCAAAAAAATTATAGCATAAAAAATATATATTTTATTCAGAAACTGTTATCTCGGAAAACTGTTTTTTTCATCTGAAATAATAATTTCCATCTGTGAGAATCTGTTTTTATTTGGTTTAACTGTTTTTGTATACGAAAAAATAATTTTGTTATCAAGAAGAACTGTTTCTCGTCCGAAAAAAATATTGTTTCATTCGGGAAAGACTTTTTTTTATCCGAAAGAAATATTTTTTATCTGAAAAAATCTATTTTCGTCCGGGGAATACTTTTTTTTTTAGAGAATTGTTTTCATCGGGGAAAAAATGTTTTTTATATGAAAAACAATTTTTTTTATACATGAGAACTATTTTCATTCGGACAAAAAACGTACACTTCCGAACGAAAAACAACTCCCTCGAAAAAAACAGTTCGTCCGGACAAAAAAACAAACTTTTCCGAACGAAAATATTCAGAAACTGTTATCTCGGAAAACTGTTTTTTTCATCTGAAATAATAATTTCCATCTGTGAGAATCTGTTTTTATTTGGTTTAACTGTTTTTGTATACGAAAAAATAATTTTGTTATCAAGAAGAACTGTTTCTCGTCCGAAAAAAATATTGTTTCATTCGGGAAAGACTTTTTTTTATCCGAAAGAAATATTTTTTATCTGAAAAAATCTATTTTCGTCCGGGGAATACTTTTTTTTTTAGAGAATTGTTTTCATCGGGGAAAAAATGTTTTTTATATGAAAAACAATTTTTTTTATACATGAGAACTATTTTCATTCGGACAAAAAACGTACACTTCCGAACGAAAAACAACTCCCTCGAAAAAAACAGTTCGTCCGGACAAAAAAACAAACTTTTCCGAACGAAAAATAGATTTTTCCGACAAAAAACAATCGTGCCGGACAAAAAACAGTTCTCCCGGACAAAAAAAAAAATTCTCCCGGATAAAAACAAACTCTCTCGAACAAAAACAGTTATCCTGGACAAAAAAAATTATTCCGGACAAAAAAGAGACTCTTCCGGACGAAAAACAGTTCTCCCGGACAAAAAACAGACTCTCCTAGACGAAAAATAGTTCTCCCGGACAAAAAACAGACTCTCCCGGATGAAAAACAGTTCTCCCGGATAAAAACAGTCTCTCCCGGATGAAAAACAGCTCTCCCGGATTACACAGTTTTCAAAAAAAATATGTTTTTTATATTACACATTTTTTCAGGACGCTAAATGATAATATTGAAATTATACAATAAAGTAAGGGTAGTTTTGTAAAAAATTTATAAAAAAGTATAGTTTGCAAATGTCATAACTATTTTGTCATACTTTGCAAAACACCACATCTTTTTATCACACTTAACCAAGAACCCCATATAAATAATGGATGTTAATTAATAAGTTTTCGCTTTACAGCTTAGGCTCTTTAAATGTGTATATTGGTTCGTGTTTACCAATTTAATTAGTAATTAATTAAGTTGTGTTAATTACTTGTGTACTTTATAATTGCTCTTCTAAAATTTTATATAGACAAAGCTATATCTTCCAAATATATTTGACAAATCATATAAATCCCTTCATATTTTATTTAGTTTTCTTGGGTTTTTTTTTGGACATTTTATTTCAGTTTTTCCACTTGAACAGAGATGGGGTCCAGATATAAAAAAAAGGAGCATCTGAGAAGTCACGTGTGTAAAGTGAAAGAATCTGAAATACACGTACGACAATGAAATTTCATATTTCAAAAAATAAACTATACTATAGAGATTTTTGGTGGGCTTGAACAATTGATATATGTATATAGATGACCTTGATTTAAACATAGAAATGCTTATCGTCTCTATGATTGCAATGTAAAATCCTGGATTCAAAGATTATCATGACACTGTTTGTTTCAGCAAATCAAACTATTTCTAATCCTTTTATTCAATTTTTAAAAATGTTGAATAAAACTCAGATAAAGGGCAGTCCGGTGCACAAAGCATCCCGTTGAGAGGAAGTCCGTGGAAGGATCTCACCACAAGGGTGTATTGTAGACAAATCTTACCTTGCAGAAATATCTGCAAGAGGTTGTTTGCGGGATTCGAAACCGTGACTTCAAGATACCAGTATAATATTATAGAGATATCAAATTCTATGGAGATATGAAATGAAAACATATAATTGATTTCATTTATTTAATTAAGAAATAGTTATTGTCAAATGTCATTGTCAATGATAAGATCATAAAATTATGTTTGGTCACTCACATCTGATGAGATATCATAAAACCAAAACCACGAAGACGGACATGCTCTTTTTTTTTAACCGCATATCATGAATCAATATTCGTATTATTAATTTAGATACCATCTATGTGATTTAGAATATACATCCATTTTTTTAAATTTAAAATTCGAATTAGATGCGAAATATACGTTTTGCGTCCTCATTTCACCGGTTAAACTATATAAATTGGGATGACAAAGACATAGTCATAGAATACGTTCAAGGCGGCGGCAAATTGTTCAATAAGGTGGAGAAAGGGGGGTTGCTGAAACAAACCACCCTAGGATATTTTCAACGGTTAATCTCAAACCGGAAAATCTGCTTCTGGACGACAAAAGATACCTCAAAGTCTCTGACTTTAGCCTCAGGGCCGTCTCGAACCAGCTCAGGCAAGATGGTCTTTCCCCAACATTTTATGGGACACCGGCTTATCTTGCGTCAGAGGTTTTGCCGTGAAACGCCGATGTCTGGCCGTGTGGGAGTGATCTTGTTCGGTTTAATGGCAGGTCATTTGCCGGTCTATGACAAGAACATCGTCGCTATGGCCAGGAAGAGCAACAAATGAGAGTTCTGGTGTCCGAGGTTGTTCTTACCCTTCCTGAGATCACGATGAATAGATGGTTCAAGAAAGGGTATAAACATGTCAAATTCTCCATTGATGATCACGATAAGCTTTGAAGGGTTAATGATGATGATGAATCATCAGTCAATTCGTCATCTGGAAGATCCTCGACGGCTTCAGAGGCTGGCGCTAAGACAGCGGGTCGGGTCAATCCCAAGACCCAGGAGTCTAACCGCACTCAGACCCGTAGTCCACTAGTCGATCTTCTGTTACTGACTCTGACCCGTGACAGATCAATAACGATGTTTAGATAACAATTTCTTAGGACAGAAAATGAAAACATAGAACGTGTACAGAAGACAACTTATGCTCCTATGATCCTGTATATATAAATATTTTCACAGGTACAAGTAACCATCCAGGATGATGAGTCCCAAAATCACCAAAAATTAATGAAATAAAACAAATAAAGTGTCTTTTAACTTAGTACCAAAATATCAAGAGAAACCAGACCGAAATCGTTTAGAGAGCTCCAAGTGTCTAGCTCTGCTCCTGAGCTTCTGCAGCCTGCTTTTCCTCAGCCGCCGCAGCCATTAGTTCATCAAACTTTTCAGACTTCCCGAGCATGATCTCAATCTGTACGGTGAAAACAAAAGATCTTAGCTTCTGATGAACAATTACGGGAAACCAAATGGCAAATCAGGAAAAGGGTTATCGTCACAAATCTCTGTTCTAATCAATTGCCAAGGAATATCTTGATTTTTTTTTTTAGTGCAGTTGATGAACCAGACAACAAGAAATTATATCACCGAAGTGTACCTTCGCTTTCTGAACAGGACGTCCCCTCGAGTCATCCTTTATATCCACGGTTGAGGTCATGATCTCTACCAAAAAGATACAATTTTCAGAGACAAAGATTAGCCAGGCGTCATGTAATCCACTTTTTAATATGATGTCCAGACCAAAAGTAGAAGATCTTACTTTTCTCAACAGCAAACCCGTTGTTCTTCAGGATTTCAGCAACAGTAACAACAGTAGCAATAGCTGCAGATGGATTGACCAATGAATAATCAAATGGACAGACGAAAGATGAAAAACGATCGAATAAAGACAACATAAATCCGGAGCTTTGCATATCCCCTCAATGGATCTCTCTGAAAATAGAAGTGATCTATTCTCTCTTAAATTTTCAACTTAACCAAATCAATCCTACTTCCATTTATTGGAGACTAATTAAGAAGCTCAACCAGGAAATAAAAAAATACATCACAGTCACCATCAAAGGGAAAGAACTCGAGAAATGAGGAAAAACAAAACAGAAATATGAGATCTCACGCCAAAAATATAAGAGAGAAGATTGAACATACCCATTCCAAGAGCAGACAATTCAACCTCGTTGTACTGTTGCATGTACCTCTAAAGGAACAACAAAATAATTAGCTAAATCAATCCAAGGGATAAATACATATCGCATATCTTAAGACATAGGACAGGATCACATATCCATACACAGAAACACCAAAAACGCATAAGAGTCAGGGCATTGAAAACGTCATAATCTTCTCATAAGTGAGGAAAGTATTCAAGCACTGATATCTAGATAAACTCTCCATGCCACCTCGAGCAACCAACAAGATGATATATAACGATCTTTCTCCAGTACCCAGTAGCACACTAAGGTCCGAGAGACCATACATTGACCCACATGAAACATCACAAATTTCTGACAGATTGAGCCCAGAAGCGGAAAACAATCGTATTCTCGTTGGACGATAGATCAAATCTAGACACTTGGGAGACCGAAAGGAGGTTACCTTAGCTAGATTGACGTAGAAGAACAATGGTTTCTTGGTGTTAGAAACCTGAATCAGGTTCTTCTTATAGGTATCACCGGCCAAGTTCATCTTGTTCACTCCCTCCGTGATTTCTTCCATGGAAGCTAACACTCGAAAACCCTAACCCTAAATTTTCTCCACTCTGAATCCCTCTCTCAGGGGATAATAAATCAATAAATTAACTCAGCATCGAAGCGAGGCTTTGGGCCCAAAACACGCAACATGACTGGGTCAACCCGATACCTAAATCGGGTCGGGTTGGATTTTTTTTTTTTGCGTTCACTTAATTATAAATGAAATTCATTGTGGCATTATCCAAAAGGTCCAACTTCTCGAAAAACCCGAAGAGGAGCCTTCATCGATCAGTGATCGGAGCCATGCCGGTCTTCAAGACGCCTTTCAATGGCTACTCCGTCAAATTCAGTCCTTTCTACGAGTCTCGGCTCGCCGTCGCCACCGCTCAGAACTTCGGAATCCTCGGCAATGGTCGAATCCACGTCCTCGAGCTTCCTCCCTCTGCACCCGTCGTCGAATCCACTGCCTTCGACACCGCCGACGCCGTCTACGACGTCTCCTGGTCGGAATCTCACGACTCCCTCCTCGTCGCCGCCCTCGGAGACGGCTCCGTGAAGATCTACGACACCGCACTGCCTCCGCCCTCGAACCCAATTCGCTCCTTCCACGAGCACGCGCGTGAGGTCCACTCCGCCGATTACAACCCCACGCGCCGGGATTCGTTCCTTACCGCTTCGTGGGACGATACAGTCAAGCTCTGGACCATGGATCGTCCGGCGAGCATTCGGACTTTCAAGGAGCACGCGTATTGTGTGTATCAAGCGATTTGGAACCCTAAACATGGCGATGTATTCGCCTCTGCTTCTGGAGACTGTACCCTTAGGATCTGGGATGTTCGAGAACCAGGGTCGACGATGATTATCCCTGCGCACGACTTCGAGATCTTGTCGTGTGATTGGAACAAGTACGATGATTGCATTCTCGCAACTTCTTCGGTGGACAAGACGATCAAGGTATGGGACGTACGGAATTACAGGGTTCCTGTGTCGGTGCTTAATGGCCATGGTTATGCGGTGAGGAAAGTGAAGTTTTCGCCGCATAGAAGGAATATGATGGCTTCGTGCTCGTATGACATGACTGTGTGCTTGTGGGATTTCATGGTGGAGGATGCTTTGGTGGGTCGATATGATCATCACACCGAGTTCGCGGTCGGGATCGATATGAGTGTTCTTGTGGAGGGGCTAATGGCGAGCACAGGATGGGACGAGCTCGTCTACATTTGGCAGCAAGGGATGGACCCGAGGACGAGTTGAATGTAAGTTTGATCATCCCTCATACTTCCCTGTGGTATCTTTGATTTTGTTTGGTTACCATACGGAGAATTTCGGAATAAAGTTGAAATTTTTAGTTGAAAAGGAAGGAATGTAATCTGTGGAGAGAAAACTGATGGAATTGCGATAGCTGAGTAAGCTTTCCTTCCATCTGTGAATTGATTTCTGTGGAAGAACCGTCCTGTTCATATACAACCTTTTACAAAGCTTCATTTTTTAGGGGTTCTTCACAAATGTGGCTAAGATTATAGATCATTGTGGTATGTAGGCTTGAACTGTTTCGTCATCTGAGTATAAACACGATTTGTCTAGCTGATCAGAATGAATCATATCATACTAGGAGATTCGGTATCGGTTCTATCTTCTGTTGATAGAAACCGTATCTTGATGTGGGCAATAGAGACGACTGATGAAGCTTCGATCTTGCGAGATTTACACCCGAGAAACTCTTAAATTGTTGCACTCTAGTGAAATGAACTGTCGGGAACGATTCAGTACCCGATTACACAGGCTTCGTCAGCACGAAAAACCCCGGTTAAATTGTTTCGTGGTTGGAATTGGAAGATACTCTGAGGTTACAAAAGTTCAGTCCAAGTAGAAGAGGAGATTTGGGAATGGAACCTATGAACATACATAGGGACTAAGCAGTTTGATGGCTAAGCTCAATATTTAGCTTGTGCCTTGTAGATTGGGAATCACTAATCTGGATTCAGGATTTTCGGGTTTGAAATCATTGGTATGAGATGAATCCAAGCAAATTTCGGATTGGTATGGTCCGGTTTTTAAAACTTTACAAGTTCATGATTTTCTATACATTTTTTTTTTTGCAAGTTCTTTTTATGGGAGTTTCCTTTTAAAGCAAAGTAAACCAAACATGAAAGATAATCAAATCATTCTTTGAACAATCCAAGAATTTTTTATTTTAAAAAAAACATGAACAACGAATCTTTTGAATACGTACGTGTATAATATGATCGAAGTGTGTATCCGAGTTCAGTATTCAAGCAATGTTACTATATGATATATTATTATTTATAAATGCTAGCTATATTCTTAGTATTAATTAAATACATAATGGTATCATTTGTGTATTCCGAATACATCATCGAGTCATTGAATAGTAATAGCAGTGGCGATAGTGGGCAGAGGAAATTTGCAAAAGCAAAAATCAAGACAAATTTATAAATTTATAACATTAATATATATATATATTTATATATCTTCCCAAAAAAAAGAAATAGTTAAATATAAAATATATATATTGATAATTAACCCGAATCAATAAAATGATTAGAAGATGACATCAGGGACAATGTCAAGCTCCTTGAAGGCCTTGGGACAGTCGGGGAGAGGGGTGTTCCTCATGAACCCTAGAGGGTTAACGGTCCTCGTCTCGTTGGACACGATCCCGTCGTTGGCGGTCAGGCTGATCCTGGCGGCGTTCCTGAGGAACTCCTCGTTGTTGATTTCACGGCACTCGGCCTCGGGCGATTCCACCAGCACGATCTCGCAGACCTCTTCCTCGTGGTCGCCCGTCACGACCATCTCGTAGTTCCCTGACTTGTCCGTCACCGCCTCCTCCACCAATGTCACTGTCTGGTTCACTCTGTTCTTGCATTCCAGCTTCACCTTCGCCCCTGCCATATATATATATATATATATATAACCTATCATGTACATGTATTCTAATATATATATATATAGAGAGAGAGAGAGAGAGTAAAAGATGGAGACCTTCAAGGAATTTGCTGAGGCGGGTGATGAACTGGACGCGGCAAGTGTCGCAGTAGACGGATCCCTTGATGTGGAACGTGTCAAAGTCGTCGGCGTCAGCGGCGGCGAAGTTGACGAGAGTGGCCAAGCAAAGGGCCGAGGCAAGGAAGAAGATGACTTTCGCCATTATTCTCTCTCTCTTTTTTTTTTTTTAAGTTGAAATGTTATTTGGTCTTCTTCTCTATTTAGTGATTTTTATTGCGTTCGATTTTGTTTAGAGAGGGAGACACTAAGACAGATGCGGCAACATGTCTCCTTATATAAAGGGTCACAAAATGACAAAGCCAATGGCTTCCTTGCTATATTTGGAAAGTGTGTATTTTGGTCTCTGTCTATTTTTGGTGGGTATACTTATATTATTGTTTGACCCCTACCTTTTCTCGTTACCGTTCCTATGTCTGAATCACAAATTTAGTTGAAAATTTCTCTCTTCCATTGATTTTTTTTGGGGGAATAAAAACATCATCATCTCTTTTTTTTTTTTTGCAATTTTTGTTGCATAAATGAGATAACTATTTCGTAATAAAACAAAACAAAGAGCATATACATTTCGGTTTAGTGTGTTTATATATCAAAGTACTTTGAATTTGATGAATAATTTTAATAACAGAGAAAATTCCTCTTATTCCATTTATAATTCTCGAAATTTCGAATACTTACATCTGGTTGACATGTGAGTGAATGCCATCCAACCCCCCTCTAAAAACTTGTTTGAGTGTGGGTTTGGGTTATAGGATTTCAATATTAAATTGGATATTTTTCATGGATTTTTATAGTTAGGGAAATTTTTTTAAGGAGTGATTTGAGTTTATCTGATACCCCGATTTGACCGATTTGCCCTTTTCATGTGTCGCATTCTCTCATCGTTTATGGGGGTCAAAAACGTCCAATAAAATCAACCCTCTCCTCGAGTGTTTCACCTCGTCTTAAACCACTAGAAAAGCGAGCCTCCGTCTTTCACTCTTCGTAAAATATTTTCTGATTCCTCGGAGATTTTTGGTTTCTGGGCGAAGATTCTCGTATTCAGTAAGTTTCTAGACGATCGTGATCTCTATATGGTTTCACGGGGTTTTCCTCGTTCGTATCGTTGTTTTGAATGTGGAGATTATCGATCGTGGTAGGGTTTTAGAGCACGTACGAGTTCATCGTTTTGGTTCCGATCGATTAGGGTTTCGTGGCTGCCTAGAAAAGTAGCAGGGAAAAGCTTCTCCGAGTGTTTTTATTTCGTTAGAATTTAACAGATCAATTCAATTAGGGCAAAAACATTGATAGTTCTGAAACCCTGTCGTTAATGTGTTCTCTTTCGCGCCCTAGCTAGTGTCGGTTTGTTGACACTTTTGGGCGATTAAACGAGCCATTGGACTTTGATCAGACTCTTAACCGTGGATTCTGAATCGTTAATGCGAGTAGGAACAGTTTCTAATTTAATCTCCATGTCTTTTTAATTATGTTTCCTGGTCATTCTCTTGAAATATAATATAGTAGTCTCTTCTGAAACCCTAGTTTTGTTTTGTTCATACTATTTCCTTAAATATACAGATCACGATCTATCGAAGCCATGGATCGTGGACATGTGACCGACTGGTTGGAGACGTTGGGGAAAGAAATTGGATCAGCCATCATGATCGTCGATGAGACGATTCAAAAGGTATCTATCCGGTTCGATATATATACATATACATATATACCTTCAGTCCTCTTTCAGATATTTCTGTTTGATCGATACACATCAGTTTTGATGCCCGAGTTCAGACAGCACATTATGATTCTGTTCAGAATGTGAACTAACGAAACTTAATCTATAAACCATGTCAACATCAACATCTGTTCTTTGTGATCTGCCAGAATATTTTGTGGATGCTAACTTTCTCTCTCGGCATAAACCGAGTTGAATATATCGACTAAGCATTTGTAAAGTTGAATCTAAATCCCCATGAACTTCTGGATTATAAAAAAAAAATGTAAATCCAGCTCAGAGCATGTCTTAGAACATCCTTGTCTACATTCACGATGGATCTTTCAAGAAAGTGTCTGATCATATAAACTTACTTTTCGGGGTATAATCTGAAAAGGGTATTTGTTACATTAATCCGCCTTAATTCTTCTCTGTTTCCGGTCCTTCTTTTGCAGAGTATGAAAGCATTGAGCTCTAATGTTAAAGAACTCTGGTCGAATCTTATCAAGGAGATTGACTCGGCGATTAATTCTGAAATAGCGGATATTATTCGCCCGGAAGAAGAATGTTCCCCCGAGAATGATAGATTTGTCACAGAGATCAAAGAAACATATGGTGAGTATTGATATCGAAGACAACCTTAATTTGTAACTTTCTGTTTAAGCTCAATAATACTAATGATGAATCACACACAGAAGACCAATGAACATACAGAAATCTCAAAACTTGAGGCTGAATTTCAAATGGGTTATTCCTGTTTTTGCAGATTTCTCGGTTACTTGAGGAGCAAGTAATTAACAGTTTTTTTATATATATATATATATAAAAAATTCTTGCAGGAACTTGGAGTAGTGAGGTTCAAGTGGAGAAAGGAAATCAGAGCTGCGAAGAGACAGAATCTTCGGATGAAGAAGACAAGAGCGAGCCATCTGATGAAGATAACTGGTATTCCTTTGGAGAGGCTTCTTCCGACTCTGAATGGGAGTTAGTTTAGGATGTTTCTTGGTCAATTAAGTTTATATACATACATACATACATATATGTATATATATATGGGCAGATTTTAGGAAATTGATAAATTTTGATTAAATGGGCATTCAGGATTTTGGTTATATCTAGTGAGGCTTTTTCAAGATTCCATTGATATTGTGAGGAAAAAAGAAATAATTTACAAGTTCACGAAGTACTTTTATTTATATATCACCCTTATTACAGAACCTTAGATTACATTAATTATATTCAAATATTTCGGTGCCAATATATGGCAATGCTACTAAATGTAAGTTGATGTGCAAATTTTCTTAAAACTACTTTCAGCGTGTTCCCTTTGTCCATAATATATATTCAACGTGCGTGTGCGTGCAGCTTAAGGAAACGGTCGCCGCAAATCCACGATACAAATTTACACCGCCAAAGTAATTGAAATATTATAGCTTATCTCCGGTACCCATTATTGCAATAATGGAGCCACAAGGTTAGACAAATAAATACGTAACTTTAATAGAGGTTGACAACATTACTTTTTTTTTTTTTTTTTGGAGAATTCACATTCGACCTCAACTTTTGCGAGTAAGAATATCATTTGGATACTCGAGTTTTGAATACTTATACAAGATCGGATCCTTATATGCTTGGATTCGAACTCGAATTCAGATAATCCAAAAATCATAAATACTTTATTCGAATATATTATTGATACCTAATGTTCGTTGCTTAGCTACAAAAAAAAATGAAAACGAAAAAGAACATCAATTGGCTCCTTATGTCAAGGCCGACGTACAAAAAATTAAATGATAATTCCAAAAAATTGTTGAAAATGTGACGTATTCTTTAGGACCATACCCCATTGCAATAACGGAAAATATATGTAAAGCTTCCTTTCATATATAACTGAATCTATCGTAATTTTCGGACATCGTTCACCTCTTCTATTTCTACATGACAACCAATAAAAATAATATTGTCAATAATCAAATAATAAAATCTATATATTATGATATCAGTAATGCATATCTAAAAATTATTATCGGATACTAGTAATACGATCGAAAAATAAAGATATTACTTTGGTTTGATTGAAATACAACATAAACTTAATATTAATTTTCGTTCATTTTATATAATTTAGTATAGATAATTAATGCTAAATTTAGCGTTACTCGTGTAACCCTAATAGTACTAAACTAGACCTTATATATACATATAAATATATGTATGTATATGTGTATATATATATATATAGTATTATTGATGGCAAAATATAATAGTTGAATGCATATGGTTAGAATTCAATTGTGAATATGGGAAGAGGATCACAAAATTTATGCCGCACGTTATGTATAAATTATGTCACCCAACGGACTCAACTTGCCTTCGTTCGCCATATACATGCAACTTGTTACCACTTTAATTAACGAACCACACGCACGTAATCCATAATCTATATTTGCCTATAAATACCTTATAGTTTCCTCACTTCTTCTTCACCACTCTACCATAAAACCCTAAACCTAAAAAAACAAAAACACAGTTCTTTTCCACCCTTTTCAATGGCGTCGGCCTTGATCACAGTTTTACTAGCAATTCTTGCGACGGGTGTTGTGGTTTCGGAGGCCACGTCACGTGGAAACCTCGCCATGGACAAAGCCGAGTCGATATCGAGGAAACACGAGAAATGGATGACTCGTTTCTCTCGTGTCTACAGCGACGAATCCGAAAAAAATATGAGGCGAAATGTGTTCAAGAAGAACTTGGAGTTCATCGAGAAATTCAACAGAAACGGAGAAAAGGGCTTCAAGCTCGGGATCAATAGGTTTTCGGATTTGTCCGAGGAAGAGTTCCTTGCCTCTCACACGGGATTCAACAACGGAATGGACGTAGTTTCTACGTCAAAGACCGAGGAAAGGGTGTCGTTTAGGTATGGGAACGTGAGCGAGGTTGGTGAGAATAAGGACTGGAGAAGCGAAGGAGCTGTTACCAGTGTCAAATACCAAGGCCCGTGTGGTAAGCTTTTTCAAGATTATACTATACGTTAATGTACGCCTAATAATCACTTTGGAGGATAAAAGGACTATATATATATATATATATATATATATATATATATATATATATATATATATA